GAGAGAGAGAGAGAGAGAGAGAGAGAGACAGCACGAACGCCAGCGCCAGGCGACACGAGACGTTCCTCGTGGCGCTCAGCTCAGCTGAAACGTCGCCGAGCAGCGACTGCGAGGCTACTTCCACCGGCGGCTGCACTGCGCGCCTACAACGAGGCAAACCGCGCAACGGATCTGGCTCGTGGCTGTTCGCCGTGCTTCGGTCCCATCCGTCGTCGCTCGCCGTTCTCCGCCAGCCACCCTCGACTACTTTTTGGCGGTCTTCGAGGAACTTCGACCGCCTGCGCGTACGAGCCGCAGCAGGGTAGTAACTACGTACGCGGCTCTCCTCTCTCACCACCATCCTTGCAGCCGCGATTCCCACGCGCATCCGTGCACTGCGCATCCAACATCATACCGGCCTCTACCTGTCCGAACGCTTCTCCACCGCTACGAGTGTGGCTTCGTCGGTGTTTCGCTCGTGTGTTGCAGGCTTCTGGCTGTATTCCAGGTTCTGCGAGCAGGTTTCCCTTCCAGGCAGGGGAGGGGGCACTCTGTGCGAAATTTCGCTTCAAGCTGCTGGAATTTATTGTAGATTTATAGGCTAATTGTTGGGGACTCGGGGAGGATGTTTAACCTGTATAATGGATTCTGCCTGGACGGTACCGCGAGGCGGCGTTGGAGCATTTTGTCGAGTCTGCTGGAATTTATTGTTGAAGATTTTGCTTTGGAATTTGTTGCAGACGATTCATTCCGAAGCAGCGCGAAATTCATTGTGAGAGGTTAATGACAAATTTGTAACTGTCGTAGTACGTTAACCTGTGTAACAGATGTTAAGGTAACGTTAGGGGGTGTTTATTTCGAACAATTTTGTCAGATCTACTGGAATTTATCGTAGAAGATTTTCATTGAATTTATAAATTCTGGGGATAATTAGAAGGTTGAACGGATATCATAATCGTGTCAACTCTACTATTTTTGGTTCAAGTAGTAAAAACGTAGCGTGACAGAGAATGAAATCGGACATTAATTAATTACGAAACTAGGAATATGATGCTTCCTATAGTAGGTGAAATATTTTGAAGCTACGAAATATTTCCACGTACAAGCTTCAAACTATCAAATTCATAACCTGCATAACAAATACAAATATCTGTCGACGAATTTTGTTAAATCTTCGTCATAATGTAAAAGATCTTCAGAATAAAATCTCGTGGATCGTGGTCGTCAAATCGTCAAGTACAATTTTTTCCTGCAACATTCTACCAATCGATCATCGACTCAACCCACCCAGTGAGGGTTCGTGAAATCAATCATACGTGGCTGTCCACGATCAACGTGACTATACAATCGAGGGTGTGCATGACGCAATGCACGTAAAACGGCAGGATCGAAGACAGTTCTGCCGGCATAGTGGCCGGGTATCCACTGAGCTGGTACATGGTCCCCGTTGCTGATTCCTAGCGACGATGTTGCGCTACTGCTCTGCTGGAGGAGGATCGATAAAGGGAGGAGGGATGGAACCACCCGGGAAGAAACGACGGAATCTGCGCTCTTCCTTCTCCCGCAAACCCCCGCGAGCACGCTGCTCTCGCACACCCACAACGCATGACTGTTTGGTAGATCTGCTGATGTCGGTCTATTCTTCGGTTCCCTTTTCCACCTGGCTCTCAACCTCTTCTTCTCCTACTTTTATCTTTACCCTCTGTCACCCTCCATCTTTGCTCCTCCCTCCCTACCTTTGGGAAACGAGTCCCATCTTGTTCGCGAACGTACCGATGCGATATTAGGGTTAGTGAACTCTGGGATCGACGCAGATAAGTGTCCGAGCTCTTTTCACCAGGTGCTTGGTTATTTCCCCGCACGTGAAAGCGACCACACACCAATTTCTTTCTGCTCTTTGTTCACTGGCCTAGCTTCTATCTTCCGTGGTCACCGGTTTTTCGCTGATTCGCTCCGTGGAGGATGGAATCAGGTCGCCCCCTTTATTTAGCATTCAAGTGTATGATAATTCAAGACGCGGTGGCGACTGGTTAATTAACCATCGCTTAATTAACCAGTCGTGCCTGTTCATTGATGAGCAGGCGGACTTGAAATTGTGCTATATACGGAGTATACGTTCGGTCCACCGAGAAAACTGTTGGAGATGTTGCATGCACCGTTTCAATAATTCATCGACAATTTATCAAGAAACACCTGCTTGCAGTCAGCCTTGAGAAGAGTCCCGAGGAAATAAATGGTCCTGGCTGAAGAACAGTTTGTGAACAAAAGTGATACAAGAAGTATACCTGGATATCCCGTGCCTTTCTTTAGATCATTTTTAGATGATAATATTACGTACGAGTATTTGAATTTTATCGAATTACATTTACAATCAGATGATTAGTAATTAAATAACTGCGAATTCTCTGTCCTGAATGAAATAACTAATTGTGGTATTTATTGCAGTATCGTTCGATAAGAAACACATTAACTTTTTCAATGCCAAAGGGATTACGTACGCTCCAAACAAAGTTTTGATGTAAAGCTTTTCGAAAATACGTAAACTGTAAACTTTCTGATAATAATATCGAATAGAATTATGTTCAGTCGAAGTTCTGGTAGTACATTGGTGTTTTAAATATGATGGCTAGTTCTCGCGAACAACTTGCTACTTGTTACCTAACGTGACTTGTCGTCGAATGTTGCCCCAGTTATTATTTACGAATTTTCCAAAACTGAAAAACTACTTCTTCAGGCTCGTTCCGAAACCCGTCCAAAAGTTATTTTACTTCCAAACTTTAAAGTATTTTCCTATG